ACCACCGTCGCAACAGTCGCCAATAAACCCTTTTTCAATTGGTAGAGGGTGCTGACATTCCCCGTCGCCTAAACCTGGAGCTGCGCAACCGAACGCTACCTCCCATCATGGCTACCAACAACGCGCAACCTGGCTCTTCCACTCCATCCCCCAGCAACCCCGGCGTTCTTCGTTTGCGAGAGCCCAAGGTCTTTAGCGGAGCTGATGAGACCGACGTGGAAGACTGGTTTGCTAACTACGAACTGGTGAGCGCAAACAACAAGTGGGATGACGCAGACAAATTGACTAACGTCATCTTTTACCTCACTGACGGGGCCGAAATGTGGTATAACAACCACAAAAACGACATTACGACGTGGTCCATCTTTAAAACGTTGTTTGCTGACGTTTTTGGCCGACCCGCTGTCCGCAAGTCCAGAACCGAACAACCCTTGCGGATTCGCGTGCAAAAGCCAACGGAATCTTTCACCAGCTACATCGAAGACATTATTGGTCTTTGCAACCGTGTGAACACCACCATGCCCAAGTCGGAGAAGATTCAACACATTCTCAAAGGGATAAATGACGGTGCATATCAGCTGCTCCTGGCTCGTAATCCTGCCACCGTTGCGGAACTTGTCACTTTGTGTCAAAGTTCCGACGAGTTGAGCAAGCAGCGCGCCCTGACTCGGCCATTTTCCTCACACGCCGACTCGCTCTCCAGTCTCACTTCCGTTTCCGACCACTCACCAACCCTGCAAGAGATTAAAGACTTCGTGCGTGAAGAAGTAGCTCGGCAACTGTCGTTGATTCCCTTCACGCAGCAGCCGCCGTCCTCTCGTCTGCCCTCACCACTCCGCGACGTTATTGCCGAAGAGGTAGCTCAGGCTGTTCCCGTCGCTGCCCACCAGCAGCCTGTGGCCATGCCTGTTGCCCATGCGCCGGCTGTGCAGCCCGTGGCCGCGCCTCTTACGTATGCCCAGGTGGTACGCAGCAGACCCCGCCAGCAGCATTTGCCACCCATGTCTTCAGTTGCTCCCCACTCCGCCCCTTTTTCGACACCTTGGGCCGCACCACGAGTCAGCAATTCCTGGCGCACTCCTGACAATCGACCGATCTGCTACGGCTGCGGTACTCCAGGACACGTGGCACGATATTGTCGCCGTCGCTTCCAACCACTCCACGACGCTACTCGGCCGTTACCGTATGACCCACAGCCCATGCACATACCTGCTCCCTATCCCTCACCGCAGTATGGATACACTAACCTTCCTGAGTCTCGGTCACCCCAGCCCTCACCTCAGACTCACTCTCCCCGCTCCCCATCTCCTCGCAGGCTATCACTGTCCCCAATGCGTCCTAGACCCGCTTCCTCCAACCAGGAAAACTGAACGCCGCAGTTCCAGAGGCAAGAACTGCGCCGTCGTCGAAATGCTCAAGTCCTCGCACTTCCCCAGCTAACGTCGTCGCCATATCTGTCGATGGTGTTTCTACCTTTGCCCTCGTCTACACAGGTGCTGCCGTTTCTGTTATAGCCGCCCAGCTCTGCCGCTCTCTACGCAAAGTGACCACGCCGCTCTCTGGACTATCGCTTCGTACAGCTAGCGCACAACCAGATCGACCTCTCGGCACCTGTACAGCCCGCATATTCATCCAAGGCTCTATGTACGTTGTCGAGTTCATCGTCCTTTCGGTGTGCTCGCATGACGTTATCCTCGGGTGGGACTTTCTGTCAAATTATCATGCCATCATCGACTGCGCACGCGCTGAAGTTCAATTGTCGCACCTGTGTGCGAAAATGCACACCTGTGTGCGAATTTTCGCAGCAGAGCTTGCCTTCGTCAGAGAATACAGGGTACACTCAAAAACGCACTTTTAGAATAGATTAGTACAGTGGGGGCCCCCAATACGTGTTTACTATTATCGCCATACATAAGGCACAAAGCGTGTCACTATCAATAAACATAGGCACTTGTGGGATATGGTTATGACTGTATGAAAAAATTGCAAGCAAGACACAGTTTTCTACTACAAGGTATGGGGTATGCACAGAAACATGCAAACAGACAGTGCTGGGATATATACTAATGTTGTCACATCTCTATAAGATGGTGGGAGATGTGCACGGAGGATTCGTGGGTTGCGCGATCATCTCCGAGCAAGCGCCTCTTACTTAGTGCGAAAAACCACGGACTTTAACTATCTCCCTGGTTCGTGGGATCAAGTTTCAAGAAAGATTATAAGCCGAGCTTCCTACTGCTCGATTCACTGTTTTATTCGTCGCCACTTTGAAAGCTGCTGCCACCATTACAAGGTACCATAAGCAAAACTCATCACTGATTTGATTGATCAAAGACTGAAGTGCAAAACCTTTTTTTTTTCCTCTTTCAGTAAGGCAAAACCAAACATTGAAAAAAAATTCATCACACTCATAGGCTCATAGCAGCTTCAATAAAGCAGCGGTGATGCTATCCCTTTTCTACGGAAGAAAATTATTTTCCTGAAGCAGCAAGTGCTTTTATTAGTCCAAAAAACTTTGCTCATTCCCATCTGTAGCTGTATCAGCCAGCCCGGCACAGCAGAATAAAATACATGCAGTTGTTTACAGTTGCTATCGAGACGCTATAGCGTCTCGTTAGCAACTGTAAACAACTGCATGTAAGCATGAGCCAGTGATGTAATCTTATAGAGCTCTGTTCAGGGCTAGCCTACTCTGCAATGCTACAGCACAAGGTGCGAAAGCGTTGTACAGTGGTCCGCACCACAGAGTCTACTAGAAAAATCTTCACAGCAGAATTGTTGGAAATATTTCATTATATGTAACGTTTTTCTCGTAATATATTGATCCCCTCGTAACATTATAGCTGAGTGATTCGTTCAAAGAAAACATCGCCTTAGTTGTTTGTGTCCCCATCAAGCAGCCAAGATTGACTACTTCTTCTCGGTGAAGGCCTAGCGCCCTCTTTGCCCCCCCCCCCCCCCCCCCCCGCTCGGCTGATACGCCTATGCTTCCAATCACTTCAATCTGTCATCTCTCTTTTAGCGCTTGCACTGCGCACTTTTCAACATGACATGTCTGAAAGAGAATGTGGCAACCTTTTCCGAGCATGATAAACTAAGCTTGAGTTCAGTAAACATTACTTTGAAGGTGATTAAATTTTTGGTGCACAGACTCGTCATGCAGTATACTTTCACATTTGTGCTGACTTTTTATTGTCAAGGGATAGGATCACACAGAAGTTAAATTGTTTTTCAATGACCTCCAGGGCTCCTTCATTGATCTTATTGAGTAGGTAATCAAATTGAGAGTTGAATAATTAAACATACATAATTGTAAAATATAGCATGCACATTGTAAACAATACGCACCTGTATACAGCAATAATTGCCGTGCGACTGGGAGTCGCACGGCAAATCAAGATGGTGGGGGAGGGGGCACAGGATATTACAGGCTAAAAGGAAAAATTCGGCAAACTGATTATAATGCTCAGAACTGTCAAAGTTTTGACTAATTATTGGCCAAATTTTAGCCAAGTCTGAAGATGCCAAATGGAAGCGATATCTAATCCCATTTGTGGTCCAAAATGTCATGTCGGCCTTAAAATAGGAAGCGACTAGGAGAAGGGAGGTTCTGACGTCGAGCCAGGAGCCCCATAATATTGCCTTGCGAGCCGCAAGGTTGCCGATCCTCATTTAGAACAATGCATAAGCATGTGAGCACCTTTTGGAAAGCTGTAACCACGGAAATGTCAGCAGTAAGCTAAGCAGGCTTAAAGTGACACTAAGGGCAAATATTATGTCGACGTTAATTGTTGAAATAGCAGTCCAGAAACCTTGTAGGGTTACTTTTATGCCAAGGAAAGGCTTACTTCGAAATAAAATCACATTTTAGTGGCCGGCATTGGTTTAGCCGCACTTAAAATTACCCGCCTCAAGAAGCAGACCTGACTCGTGTCACTTTTGCTCTGCACAACGATGCTCGGCTTTACTGCGCGATTGCCGACACTAGTAGACAAAACGAAAGCAGGGGGAGCCACAGCAGCAACAATGGCCATTGATCGATTTCCTTCCGTTGGCTCAGAGATGGCAGACGTGTTGTGGTTTAACTGCGCCCCGCTAGATGGCACAACCTATCTAGTGCAATCAGGCGAAAATTGCACCATTTCCCATAGTAACGTCCGGCAGTTCTTTTTTCCATGAATCAAACAGAAACGAACAAGCAGCATTTTATTGTGTCTCTTGATACGCGGAAGTTTCTTCATTTAGTGCAGCTAGATCGATTACTAGTGATTAATTGTAGGCGGCTAGTCTGACGTCACCACTATCGTATTGAGAATGACCTACTGCGGCGCATGTATTTTGTGCATTTACCCTAATTTCTCATTAAGTAGGGCACTTCTGTTGATAATATTCTCGTTTTAGATGTTGTCATACATTGAGCTTTCAATCTGACATAAATTGTTATTTGACTTTGGTGTGCCTTTAACCCTTTGCAATCCGTTGTCGGCCCCTGCCTGACAAAGCAATGCAATTCACAGCGGTCCATGGTCAGGCACTACTGGACAAGTTCTTTCACAGTTGATACATATATGTGACTTCTTTACCTTCGTTTATATAAGCTTTGAGTTGTTTACTTTCGGATCATAATGGACGGAAGGAGGAAAACCGTTAGGACCACTAAATGTGAACACTGTTTAAGTATGAAAACTTATGTTTGCTGATGTTAACTATAGTGATTGCTACTTTTCTTAATTTTTTGACATTCTGAGAATAGACCTTGAGCAGGAACTGTGGCCTCTAGAAATTCTGTCTGGGCCTGACAAAGGCTTAAAATATTTCATCCATTCTTAGCAAATCTAATTAAACCTAACTGGAAAATTGACACAGCGGCTCGAGAGCAAGGGCATGGACTGCCTCTTGGGGCATGTTCAGTTACTAACTGTTGGTATATTACTGCACCAGCTTATGTTGCATGTTTCCCTTATGTGCCCACAATTTATTGCTCCTCCTGCTATGTCCAGGCCTCTGGAGTTCGGCCCCTGGTGCATGAAATTTTCACCAACTACGCCCATTTTGATGCCAACGGCTGTCTGCAAATAAGCGAGTACCACATGCAGAACTGGTGCAAACTGAGTTCGGTGAACCTCTGCAAGGGCTCAGTCATGGAAGAGTACCTGGACCGAAGGCGAAAGCAGGGCGTGAACTTCGACACAGTCTCGTACGTGGGCGATGGCAACAACGACCTCTGTCCGTGCCTGCGGCTACGGTCCTGCGACCTCATCTTTCCCCGTGCCGATTATCCACTTGCAAAGCAACTTGCTAAGGACCCTGAGCAGACCAAGGCCAAGCTGCACCCCTGGAGGACAGGATTGGACATTGCAAGTGTCCTTCTCAAAAACTGTGTCGTCAACAATGTGACTGAGTAGTGCAAAGCAGCAAGGAGATACCATTGCGCCATCATCTTCTTCCCTATGCACTTGTTCGTGCATGTGCTTTGAAGCATTGTTCCTTTTCTGTCAGCTGTCATTCATGTTGTGTTCCCAGATTTTTACTGTGCCCAATGGCATTGCTGCTTTGGCCAAGCAGTATTAGAAATATTAGCCATTGTAAAGGAAGTGCCAAAGATGACTTCCTTTGTGCTAGTAATTCCAGTGCATATTACATGCAGCAGAGGCCATCGAAAAATCGGAAGGGTCTTTCACATTGGAGTGAAGCTTTGTGGGCTCTATATTTTGGCTCACACAAGAAGTCACGATTAGAAAAACGTTTGAAGTGTTTGCACAAAAAAAAAGAAAACCTAAATAAACATTCAGTGTCTAACATTGTGTGCATCATCTAGATTACTTTAGCGACTGGCTTGCAAGATGTTCATTGATTTTGCACTGACCTAAAATTTTTTCATGGTATAACTACTTATGCCACTAGTGTTGTGGTTGGCAAATTATTTTGCCAGTTGTACTTCAGGGAGAAAGCAGCACATTGTACGTATCAAAACATTGGCAAGTTAAATAACTTTACAGTACATTAGTTTGAGAAAAATCACCTGATAAAGATGCTGCGAGTGCATCTTATAGCGAAAATCATGTAGCAGGTTCATTTTTTTTTTTAACTATGTAGCAGCCATGTTCGTTCATGGGAATAATTTAATTCACTTATTCTTTTAGAGGCAAGGCAGTAGCATAGTGATATAACTTAAGCAAAAGCATTACTGCCCAGGTGTTCATTGCAGTTCATAATGATTATCTTGATTTGTGGCGTTTGTTGTGTGCTGTATCTAATATGTTCCTTGGCTACACCAGCCTGCATGAATTCGAGCCTATGCAAGGATTCAGAGTTACGCTTGACAGTTAGGTCTTATCTGCCACTGTTCCTCTCCTCAATATAAAAGCACAGAATGTGTGGGTAATTACAGTGTCTTGAACAAGTGTGTTTTGCCTCTATAAGATTCTTGTTGGGTATGCTGTCTCCAGTTTAGGGGAACAAACACTCTTGTAGTGAAATTTTCTGGTCGTTTTAGAGAAGCTGCCCAAGTACTTTTGCATGTGCTGCAACCACACTTCTATATTGTGAGTCAAGATTTGCCATTGGAGCCTCGCACGGAGTCTCAGTGGAAGTCGCCTGCAACACAGCTGAAGCAAGCTTGGGTCTTGCAATACTATCCCTACAGTGGCACAAGAGACAGCAATATAAAGAATGCTAGACAGGTTCATGGGGATGAGGTGAGAGGCGTTTAAAGTTATGGTTGAGGCTTGAGTCGACAACATGGAAAGAATATTCTCTACTGTAGAGCGATATAAGTGCCCTCGATCGATCAGTGGAATTCAACATCTTTGCTGTTGATGTGTGCAAGAAAGCAGAGCACTTATTTGTACTGCCTATCTAGGTTTTAAATGCTGGCAGACCTTTATTTTGTTTTTATTTTCTGCTCAATCCTTGACAGAAGGCTCAGTGAACATCTGAGCATTTCATGCAAAGAATACTACTCAAGGGAGAGAGACCCGAGAACAGTTGACGCTCTCACTCGCGCTGTGTTTTTGGTGGTCCTTTCCTGCTCCGTACCTGTGGTTCAGATGACACTGAATGCAAGTGTCTGTGCATGTGAGAATGTGTCTGCACCAATGGTGAAGAGGGAATGCCTTATGGGCATTCGTTTGCCAACATGTTATTTTTTTTTTCTAAAAATATTCGTATGTTAATCGCTCAAATCTGGGACAAAACACGAGACTGGTCATGTAGTCCTGCCACCCTTGTTTTAAGAATGCTGCTCTAACAAAAAGCTAAACCGTTCAGCTGTGTCACGTGGCATGTCTTGAACTTATTCTGTTTGTGGGAAGCAAAATTTAAAGGGGAAGAGAGACTTTTTAGTAGAGCTTGAACAAAATAGCCTTTTACAAGTTTGCTTCCAAAGATCTACACTTTTTTTTTTCTCCTAACATTTGTGAAAATGCAGCTCATATTTCAGCATTTTTGCGATGTTGAAGCCATGTACTGAGTATAAGTAAGAAGTGCATATTTTGGGATGGTGCACATCTGTGCAGTTGGTTTGATTTAATCTGAGTGGCTTGTACCTTGGTAGCGACAACTTGCTGCAGCGAGCTGCAAGAAAAGACTAGGCAGGGGGCATTGATTACCCATCTTTTCCCAATGCCTATTCATTCTTGCCAGGTTCCTGCCATCAGAGCTAGCTGCATTTGCGTTGCTGCCAGGCGCATAGGAATGGGAAATTGTTTGTAGGCTTGATTGTGCATTGGTTCAGCAAAAATGTACGCCAAAGACGAGCTTGTTGATGATCTCTTTTAGTTTAGCCTGAACAATCTACCTTCTTCTGCATGCACTTGTTGCACAGAGGAGTGAGAGGATAATGCTAGGTCATGTGAGTTACCATAGTTGTGAGTTTATGGTTGGCGACACCAACAGAAGTTTATCAGAGGAGCTTGTCACGGCAGGGTGGGCATATAGTATTGCTTAGGCTTGTCTTTCGAGCAGCTATCTTTTTATACAAGTTTTAGACGCTTATGAAATCGAGTTGGTGATGTTAACACTTATTGTATGCGCATACTGCTTGACGTATGCACCCTGCCTACTCGTGTCTGTTCAGAATGGAAGTGAGAAAATAAAAACATTCCTTTACAATGTCGGCCTTTGCATTACGCCGTTTAGCTCACTTTTGCTGGTCGAGAGGGGGAAAGTAAAGATTAGCTGCACGGCTCATTTTGTGCCCGCTGTGTGATATAAAAGCTACATATATCCACGACCGTCCTCCAAAAGGAGCATGATATTGCGCGTTTGTATGTGAATCTTCGAGGGAAGAGGTGCTCGCACGGTATCGCGCGCTTGTGGAAAATGCGATGTTTGTCGGTCAGCCGACTGTCTGATCAGCACGGTGACGCAGCACATGTGGCAGTGCCTGCTCTTTCGCTTGGCTCGCCGAGATAAAAATGCAGTGCGCGAGGCATCCGACGGGCCGCTTATCGCGAGCCGTCTTCACGCCTGCGGCCAACCTTCCCCGCGATAAGCGCAATTAAACCGCCTGTCCGGCTTGCCCACATGCCTGACGGAACGAAAGGCAAATAACTTAAAATAAGCGAATAAGCGATTGTCTAGCCCCTCCCCCCCCCTCCTCTTCCCACGGTCACTACTGCCTTCCGCAACTCTCTCCCAGAGATCGCCTGCAACCTCTCGCCTCTTCGTCGCGTACGTGGTTGGTCGCTTGGCGAAGGGCAGTTTGCTCGAACCGGTCCTTTCCCATCCTTTTTGCGACTGTATTCTACTGCACTCGACCCGGCAAACAACGTACGTCATCCTAACGCAACGACGGCAGTCGTGTCTCGCGCGGCTCGCATACGCACCACGTTCATACGCTTTCCGTCACACCGCGTAGCACGCACTCGTGACTATTCGCGTTGACATACCGTCTCACGTGGAGCAAGGAGCTGGAGTGCGGCGGCATGGCGTTGGCAATTAAGAAGGTTCTCATCAGCGATGCGGTGGATGCTTCCTGCGTGAAGATCCTCGAAAACCACGGTGTCCAAGTGACGCTCAAGAGCGACCACACCAAGCCCGAACTTCTGGAGGCTATCAAGGTAAGCAACAAAAACGCAGGCGCACGCTGTGGCAACGCCCAATAACGTAAACCGACGAGCGGAACGTAGGCGTTAGCGCTCAAGTTTCAAATGCTCAAGATCTGTATGCCACGTTGCCTTAGACATGTGCCGCGGACTCCTGTACAGAAACAGTTCAGCTTATCTTTAAGGAATTATTTGCTCAGTTTCTGTCAGTTTGCTGCAAATCGGGCTTGCCTCAAACGTTTCCCGTGTATTTCAAGATTTTTTTTTTTTTTCGTGTTGATAGCAGCTCACGGAACACATTGAATGGCCTACGGCGAAAGCTGCTTGTTTATGGTTTCGGAAAACAAATTTAAAAAATAAAAACTACGCTAGACTTTTTTATAGAGCGGCGAATTGGCGGACCGGCTCCTACGAGTTTAGGGTGCATGTTTGACCCACGTTTGACCTAACCTGTTGATCGCCGGCTGCTCATTCATGCGGCTGTGGCGTGCCTGTTTCCGCAAATCAGGGTTACGATGGGCTCATCGTACGATCGGCCACGAAAGTGACGAGCGATGTTATCAAAGCCGGCCAGTCGCTCAAGGTCATTGGACGCGCCGGCACGGGTGTCGACAACATCGACTGCGATGCTGCAACTAGGCAGGGAATTCTTGTCATCAAGTGAGTATGCTCCCGGGCCATAAAGTTTATCTTTTTTTTTTTTTTTCAAGTGCGTACGATTTTAGGGGCGCAGCTTGTAGTGCATTTATCTCATGTCGCATAACATGCTCAATACCAGTACTGAATAAAGTGTACAGTCGAAAATAATGTAAACTACAAAAATAACTCAAGAATTAGTCGCAGAAATGACGCAAAATTGCTATAAACGCATCTGAAGCATCCGCCTGAGGCCTGCGCCGCACATATGATGTCGCCACCGCCTCGGCAAGCGCGCAATTGTAAAGGCTATCGCTGGGTTCCCCATGCTATGCACTTCTGGTTCCATGGTAGTGGAGCAGCCTTACGAACAGCATTTAGGACCACACCAACACGTACACGAGAATGATGGTGCAATATTTACCATTACATATAGAACTATACATTGGGGCCTCCACTGGAACTACATTAAATGTAGAGTCAACGATGGCGTTGTGCAGAATTAGCACTACATTAAGCGCTAGATTTTAAGTTTTTCAGCCTTGTGATTGTAACCGTCCATATTGTCACAATCGGTATGGATGTAGTGCCAAGAGAAAATTCTGTAGGCAGTATAAAATGTAATACGTATGCCGAATTTACAGACCATAAATAGCTGCAACTACAGTTCAATGCGCCACATGGCCATTAGCAAAGTCGTCGAGGATCGATTGTTGGTGATAATGGTGATCCTGATCTGATCACACATATGTTAAACCAGCAATAGCGCAAGTAGCACTAAAGTGCTCTTTGCATTACAAAGTGCTATATTGGCAGCAAAAAAAAAAAAGATGCCACAATGTTTTTGTTTTTTTGAAGGCATAGTGGTCAAGGGTCTCAAGGCAGCCCACGAGACAAAGCTGTCTTTATTAACTACAAAAGACCTGGCCACTAATGGTCCACTGACCATTCCATCATTAACTCTTAGATATCTATATATCACATTTGTTTCTGCATATTTGGCACCTGTTGCATCTTTGGCACCAATTTTTCAGTCCTTTACTGCATGGTTCTCACATTAGGGGAGAGGAATAAACCTGTCAAACAAAGGTTACCGAAAGAGTGGCTAAGGTGTGATGGCTCTGTTGCAGTGCCCCAGGCGGAAATACCCTCAGTGCTGCCGAACTGACGTGTGCCATGATCATCACGCTCTCCAGGTAAGCTGCACTTTTTGAAGGGGGCTTTAGTCTTTTTCTGCATACTATGGACCTTCAATGAAATCGAAGCATACAAAATGCCATATAGGCCAATGTATTTTTTTTAGAGTATTGCTTTGCCATGTAATGAGTGCAGTCTTAGAGCGGTGGTCATGAGGGTCCTGCCTTTTTTTTTTTTAACTTGCACTGCGCAACCGATGTCGTTTGGCATGTTATTCAAGTGAATAAATTTTGCTTGTGTGTTACATCTCTCACTGGTCAAATTTACATTAATGTATGCCATGACAAGTATTTCTTCTTGTTCTCTTTCTCCCGACTCTTAACAGAGAAATTCCAGCTGCAACAATGTCTCTCAAAGGAGGAAAATGGGACAGAAAGACATTTATGGGTAATGAGCTGTATGGGAAGACACTTGCTATCATCGGACTTGGAAGGATTGGCAAGGAAGTGGCATTAAGGATGCAGTCATTTGGAATGAAGGTAAGCATGAAGTTTTAGACTTGTCGTTACTTTACTATTATTTTTATTTTCATATTCACTACACATTTTACATGACCTTGTGGCTACGACAGCGGGTGCGCTTGCTGTGCTTTATATTGATGTGTGCAAATTTGTGCCCATAAATGTGAAGCATAGCATCTTACAAACATAGAGTAAAATCAAGTTTTATAATGTTTGTTGGCGTGGTCTTAATGTACATTTCGGGAACAGAACTAAAGATGCTGTACATACAGTAATTCTGGTGCTACTTGCATTTCCAGAAGCAGTAAGGTAGTTCACTGTCCACAAAAGGGCCCTGGCATTTATGTATATGACCTATGCAAAGTGCCATTATAAATTTGTAGGAGCACAACTTCACTCTCTTTATGCCTGCAGCTGTTAAACCTACAAGGGAGGGAACAAGCTTATTTGGTTTCTTAAAAATGACAACTTGGAGTTGTAAGCATAAATCTCACTTCAAAGCTTCGTTTTTATACTTAAATTTTTTTCTGTGTGTCACGTTCACTTTGTCTACATTTAGTTGGTGTGCATGAACAGGGAGACAGATGCTTACAGCTACTCAGACCTGTGTGTGATTGAACAGATTCGTAGCATATGAGAACAATTTCCCAAGAAGTTGCAACTTCGCATTAGGACTCTTGCTCTGTTTTTGTTTTTAAATGAGAAAAGTTTTTCAGCGAACGAGGCAGTGTACGATTATGAGAGCTTGCTAAATGCCTGCGAATGCTTTATCTTATCTGCATCTCGTCTCCTAAACATGAACTTTATGTGGAATGCTTTCTTCTGTGCGTATCTTTCCTAATTTTTAGGATCCTCAAAGCCTTGTTTCATGTTTGCTCGTGGTTTCAATTTAGGGCAAACAATAATTAGATTCATTGGGCTTTCTCTTTTTCGCCATGTTAACCCAAGACTTTCCTTTGGACGGGGTTTGTGGATTGGAGAACACAGCGCGGTGTCTGAAAAGTCGCGTTGTAAAGTGGCAAAAACACTTGTCAGGTGTTAGAACACCTATGGTGCTCCTTCTTTCTGTCTAAATGACTGCATCTTCATCATCTTTTTTCAGACCATTGGTTTCGACCCTATTGTGCCCAAGGAAGTCGCCAGGGAGTTTGGAGTGGAGAAGCCTAAGTCTTGATGAAATCTGGCCCCTGGCTGACTACATAACTGTCCACACACCTCTTATTCCGCAAACTAAGGTGAGTAATGCAGCCTGCTTGGTAGAAAAGCAACAAGCAGTGCTGCACTTATACAAGGTTGAACAAGCTTGTTGCAGGAATGACAGCACAAATTTATCTGGTAGGTATAACACAATGTTGAAAAGCTTTTAGCGGACTGGACATAAAAAAGCACATATGATGATGCACTTATGTCAACCCATTTAGTATTGCAAGACCATAGGGGGTGTCACCATAAATTTTATGATAGAAGCACCTTACCAGCTGCAGCTGTCTCGCACATTGTCTCATGCTGTCACACCGACCTCACCGTGCTGCATTATATTTATACTTGAGCTGTGCTTATAGCAAAGTTTTGGATGCGAAGTAAATTCGAATATTGAAGTATGAGTGTGAATCGTAGAATATTTTTCGAATGCTTTGGAGTGAGATGGCAGAAAAAAATGATGGAGGATTCCTAAGTATATTCTTATGAAATAGCAACATAGAAATGTTTCTTTTGGCTAGGTTGCTGAAGCATTGACAGAGTTGGAGTTCATAGTTGCCTTATCAAGAAT